TAAATAACATAATAAAAAGAAGCAGGTGATTATTCTCTGTAATCAGGAACAGAAGAGTAGGAGGACTAAAAGGAGAGTTGACTCATCAATCTTCCTGTTCTCTCCCTGCTTCTCCCCCTAAGTACCACAATCCAAGTCGAGTTCCTCTCTCCAGGTTTCTTCTCAGGGATCAGTTTCATAATCAACTGAGCTTGGAATAGGCTGACTCTGTCCATCTATTTCTAATCTCCAAGATCAGAACCATTAACCACAGCCCTGAAAGAATCCAGCTACAGATATAGTTCTGATTGAATTCTTGCAATACTTTTGGATTTGCATCCTCCCAACATAGTGGCTGTATTCCCATAAGAGGCTTATTAACCTAGTTACTGAATTAACCCATTTTCTGGGATGGCCTCACATGCTGGATCACCAGCTGGCTAAATGACCTAGTTTGGCCTCACTCAAAGCCACCAAAGATAGCATTCTTATAGAAATCCATCTTCTCTCTCTCTCTTTACCTGGCTAAGTGTGTGGTGTGAACACAGTGAAAATATGGGCTGGGCCTGAGAGAAGTTTAAAATCAACAAGTGAAATAATATTCACCATGTCCTCTTACCTCAGTTACGTGGTTGACCATTTCATGTACCCGTACTGTTATCTTTTTTGAATCGCCTTTGTATTTTGTGACCTACAGAAAAGATAAAAATGTTAAGATTATTATTATTATTATAATTTAATTTATATACCGCCCTTCTCCCGCAGGACTGAGATCATAATTATAGGAAGAAGGGAAAGAAGGTGGGAGAGAAAGAACATATTAGTGAAAGGATCGTTAAATATGTTGATGTAATAATATTTTTTATCCAAGCAGTCCAAAGAATTCTTTTGTGCTGATTTTTAATCTATATTTGTGCCATTAATATATTAAGGTTTTTAACTTTTCAGCAGCTTTTTTCCTGGTTGGAGAAAATTTTGGTCAGCCTACTGAAATGCTTTCCTAAATTGGATGCTATATTTCCTGGTTCAGAGATGTGTGAGATAAGCATTCTTAACTATACATCTTTTTCTTTGTGTGTTGTCAGCTTGGAGAAACAAAGAGTGCAGGAATGTTTCAAAGAAACCTACAGAACTGTTTAACCAGTGTGGGATAAAAATAAATTTAGATGGTATCCAGGAAGACCAAATGTGCAAATTAGAGTATATTTACAAATGACTCTTAACTTTATAAATATTGCTTGGGTTCAATAAGAAAAAATATGAAAGTTTATGATAAGTTTATGATAAGTTTATGATAAGTTTAAGACCGAGTGGCTGTGTTGCCGGCGCCTCGGCATAGTCAGCTGATTCCATCGCTGTCTATAGGGGGCGAAATTTTGGCCCCCTCAGAGAGGGCACGCAACTTGGGTGTCCTCCTGGATCCACGGCTGACACTGGAAGACCATTTGTCGGCCGTGACCAGGGGGGCGTTTTATCAGGTTCGCCTGATTTACCAGTTGCGTCCTTTTCTGGACCGG